CATGCAGGCTGGGGAATTCTGGGAGTTGAAGTCCACCCATCTTAAAGTTGCCAAGGTTGAAAAACACTGACATAGATGCTAGATTGAGGGCTGCATGAAATTAGTTTGAGGATTGCAGGTGTTCTGTTTCTATGCTACACAAAGTACTGAAATGGCGCTTTTTGATCTCAGGAAATCTATTTCAGTCACTCAGTCCTCTGAGCTCAGGGATATCAGTCTATATGACTAACAGAAATACTTACCTTTGCAGCTATAAAACTAGGAAATAATTCTCATTGTGCCTCTTTCTCCCTACATGGATACAGAAGTGGTTTTGTGTATTGTTCTTTTCTTTTTTTAAAAAAAACTGAGAGGTTATTATGCAACTTCTTTTTCCATGCTAGAAAGTGGTTTCTGGTTGCTATAGACTGTGGTCATCTCATCTCTGCTCCCCCATCAAAATGTTTTTGTTTGTTGTTTTATAGACCAAGCCGGTAGCATTTGCTGTGAGGACAAATGTGGGCTATAATCCTTCTCCCAATGATGATGTGCCTGTCCAAGGCATGTCTATTTCCTTTGAACCCAAAGACTTCCTTCATATCAAAGAGGTAAGAAGTGCAGATGAGGGAGCAGAAACAGTCTGATGGGGAATATGAGGGCTTACCCCAATCCCAGGGGTTTTGAAATGTACAGAACAGTGTTTCTTAGCTAAAGGAACTTCTACCACTGATCCTATGTAGAAATAATCTAGGTGGGGCATGACTCCCACCCTTAAATCAGGAAACAGGAAAAGGGAGTGGAGAAGTGAAGCAGAGCCATCAATCTTCAATTCAGCATCTTGGCAAAGCCTCTTCCTATACATGGGACTGAAGAAAACTCTGAGGGGTTTGACATAGGGGCCAAATTAAACATGACCAATCTCTCTTTCCCACCCCCTTCCCCCACTGCCCCCAATTTTCATTATTTGCAAATATTTTTTCATCTAGGCTTAGGTAAAATTGCTCCCATAGTCGGAGATGCTGCTTCAGCTCCATTAGCTCTCATTTTATAGTTGTCAGTATAATACTATTAATGTATCTTTTGTATTCTTAAAACTTATGATACCTGATCGATACAGTAAGAGAGTGCTGTAAAGATGTACAACATATATCAAATACACACACACATTCTTCTGGGGAAAAGTAGGCTTTTCATTTTTATCTAGGGGGAGACCCAGATTCTTTAACAGCATGATTGGTGGGACTTATGATATGAAAACTTGAGAAGCATTGGTATTTACCAGTGGGTAACAAAGAGCAACCAAGAATGGCTGTCCTCTCTCTTTTCCTCCTCATTCATTTTATGGATTTTATATATTTGATTCTGTCTTCTCTGCTTCAGAAATATAATAACGATTGGTGGATTGGACGCTTGGTCAAAGAAGGTTGTGAGGTGGGCTTCATCCCAAGCCCTGTCAAACTGGAGAACATGAGGGTGCAACAGGAGCAAAAGATGAGACAACATCGGCTCAGCTCCAGGTGGGATAGGATGAGATTGGGTAGAGGAGGAATGACCTTGCCACTCAGTGCTCTAATAGTTGATTGCTGTAGTTCCCTGAGAACCTGCTTTGCTTGTAGAAAGGCTAATCCTTGGCATTTTTCATCAGACCAACCAAGGGAAACCTGTTGCCTTTCACTGTTTTTGAATTACATCTACAACCACCTACAACTCCTGGCTTATGTTAGTTGAAGCTGATAGTAGGTGGAATCCAAGAATATCTGAAGGGCTGCAGGTTCCCCACTCCTCAGTTAAAGGCCAAGGGAAGTCCTACACTTGAAAAACTTTAGAAACTTTATCAACCTTGATGGCTTTTAGTAGCGTTGGACTACAATTCAGAATTCCAAGATGGAATAAATTTTGAAGGTTCTAGGGTAAGGAATGTTTATAGTGTTTTTCCAGCTGTTCTGTTAGCTACTTCTAATCATGGTGAGCATAGCACTAAACTGGAAGGACACTTGGCCTGACTTAATACAGGGGTGATTTTTATAATTATAACTGCAGATGTATGAATCATTCTTTAAGTACCCACATGTGAATTCAGAGTTGGGGTTAGAAAAATAGAAATGAGATAGGGCTGAGACAGCCTTAGATAGTTTATCGTACTGTTTCCCTTGTAGACGAGTATGAGCCACTTGAACTTTTAATTCTTCCATTTGCAGAAAAGTCTGATTTCAAGTTTCCTGACAAAGCTTTTGGAGGGCAAAGTACTAGAAATGCCACAGGGGAACAATCAGACACATCCTATGTATCAGTGTTTTTCAAGCTTGACAACTTTAAGATGTGCAGACTTGAACTCCCAGAATTCCCCAGCCAGCATGGAAGTTTAAGTCCACACAACTTAAAGTTGCCAAGTTTGAAAAACACTGCAATGTATGGAGATTGAGTTCAGGATTGGTTGGGCAGATGTACAGAAATAAGTGGAACATGAAAAGTGCCTTTAGTTGACATGTATTATATCTGAAGAATCTGGTTTATTTTACTGTTCCTGGAAATTCAGGATACTGTGAAACTTCTTTTTAATGAACTAAATGGAGGGAAATGTGTCCATTATTCATGAATGTAGTAGTACTAGTATTTTTTTTTAATATGCACTCATATTTAAACACAGCACAAGACCCATTTTCCCAACAACACCAACCCCATCTTATAAATATGAAATTATTCCTGTGATACAAGTTATATCATTTGTGTCAATTTATATCATTTGCATCATTGCACAAATGATGTAAATATTCCTGAATAATCAATTTTAATAAAACTGAAATGGAGGATAGAGTGGAAAGGAGCACTAGTTGAAGGAGAGGAAAGAGATTGCACTGCCTTTGTTCTGGCCATTGGGGAGTCCTGTTTAGCATCTGCCACCAGGTGGACAACCCAACATTCTCCGTCAACAAGACCGCTAGCCACTTGCTTCTCCTTGAAGTGGCCTTCCATGACCTAGTGCTGTGGTGGCACAGGATGTTGAAAATACTGATCCAACATATTCTGAGGGCAGTGACTGAGGAAAACTGGTTTGAACAAAAATAAATGTCTTTAAATCACATTTAGAAATCTACATTGACTTATACAATTTTAAGGAAAAAAGAGTTGGTATAAGCTTAGAACTGGGTCAAAAATATAGGGCTTGGAAATTCCCTGAACAGCAACTACAAAACTCCAAAATAAGGCTTTTTTGAAAAATCAATATAATCAACAGTGACATTTTCAGGGAGGGATCAAAAGAGGCAAGAGGGCGGTACAATCCCCTCCCTTTTTTATGTGCATGCAACATCAATGCATGTACAAAAGGGCAAAATGGGTTGTACTGCTGCAACTGTCTTCTTGCCTTTTTTTATCTCCTCCCTTCTGGCACCATTGATCACCAGTACCTCGTCAGAGTGGTAAATTTCATTAAATTTAGTGTTCTTATGAAATTTTGTCATTCTCAAATGAGATTAAACAAGATCTTGGAGCTGAGTCTGCTGAAATCTCATGTTTGGGGCCACTTTTGAAAAATTATTTAGATACCCATGTCATTAGGCAAAATTGTACAGTAGCACCTGGTGCCTGCAAAGGTTGTCAATCACTGCTTTAGAGTACATAGTTGGGTGTCAATTTCATGTTTCCTTCTACCATTGAGTGTTTCAGGAAACTGCATCTAGAATGAAACTGAAATAAAATTGTCATGCATCCCATTAATCTCCAGGATCATTAATCTTCATTGTAAATTGTGGATCTTAAAATCCCTTGGACATTCATTCATTCATTTGACTTATATGGCTGGCCATTGTATGTGCCATAACCCTGGGTGGCTCACAACAAAAGTAAAAACATCCAGCAACCATAACACTATAACATGTCTTGGGAGAGACTGCAGAATCCTTCACATGATCTAGCCCCTCTCTTAAATACATGCAGAAGATCATCTCTGCCTTGCAGTGTGTATAAAAGCAGCTTACATCAGTTTCAAACCTATTTAATTCTCATACCTCCTAATCTTTTAATCACTGGAGTTGTTTTTCTGTAAGTCCTTTTTCTAATGAAGAATTTTTAGCAATCTGCAGATTTTAATTATTAGGGGAGCAACATTCTTGGCAGTTGAATATGGTTACCAAATATTTTGTATTTATACTCATCTATACTGAAATTTCATAAAAATATTATTATTTATTAGATTTAGAAAGCCACCTGACTCCAAAATATACTATAAAGAAGAGAACTAGAAGAACTTTGTTGCATGTAGTAGTTACCCAAGGGGAGCCTATAAAATGACATAAATAGGTAATTAAAGAACATTGGTCTGAGTCCACTACAGCAATGTATGTCCAACGATCATAAAATCTAGATGAATGAAAAAAAATTTTTTTTTTACTGAGAAAAGTTGCCAAGCTTGGATCTTCTGGTGGTTCTGCTATGCTGATTTCTCCACGACCTTATCTTCTTTTCCCACCTTATTTCAACGGCTTTTTTTTTTTTTT